ACTCTGCATAATTTTATGCAATGAAAATGCGTTGAAATTAACTGGGTGAACATTACTTTAAATCAATACTTGAATCATAAAAATTAATGTTTCCCCTCATACGTTGTATTTGAGCAATATAAAGCCTTCAACACACTACGGAGTTTATTTTTAAAAATGGCTTGGTAGTTATGATAAGCTTTCAATTGGTCATTATTCACTAATATGATGGACTACAGATTCATACTCACTCTAAGGTCAACCTAATAATGTTACAGTTTTTACTGTGTAAGTTAACTCAAAAGAGGGCTATATTACTTATAGATAACAACTAAATTTTTTTGCAATAACAGTTAAGAATATCTCGAATTTTCGGCAGCATTTATTTAAGACAATGCACAAAACATGATGATTGAAACTGATTTCTGTTATAACGCTGCTACGTATAGCTATTCAGTCCTAGCGGCGTCCAGTTCAAATATCCCAATACGACCCAAAATGCTATTTCCAAATCTCCTATATATCAGAACGCAACACCGTTGGATGGAGTTATTTATTGGGTCGAGTACAAAAGAGAGGTAGGCAGGAGGAACGGAATTGGAGTCGGAATCGCGAAGTTTTACAGATAGTGAGTATTTATACTTGTAGGTCGAATAGGAAAGAGCATCCAGGTCTGTGACATTGACAGTTAAGACGACCAATAGGAAAGAACAATTGAAATGACAATGACAGTCCGGATGACCAATAAGAGACAACATTGAAGTATTTGACTTTGACAGTTAAACAACTATAATTTTGACCAATAGAAATTGACCAATAGGATTATACTTCCAAAAATAGTTCTCTTAGGATATTTGGTGAATATACTAACAATTTCAACAATCCTAATTTTAGCTTTTTCTCAACTATGCATATGAATGGCCAATTGAATATATTTTCAAAGCATGTCTATTTATTGCTCCACCAATTAAACAATTAAACATCAATACAAATGTAACTTCTCAACAATCAACTAGCGAAGAACCTATTGATGATAGTGAATTAGCTGCTAATGATCCGGTAGAGTTTTTGTTTATACGTTCAAAACTAGCCAGAAGAATTGCTTGGCTACTAGCTCCAGGTAAAGGTCGTGTTGGTGTATGCTTACCGGCTGATGCTGCTGGACTTTGGTTACCAAGTTTGATTATACGAGGCATACGTCATTCACTTTCAACAGCGTATGAAGTAAGCAATCTTTTTCGAGATTTTATTATTCTAGTGTTTCTATGAACCATGCATCATAGTATTATCGCTTAGAATATTAAAGATTCCCATTGTTATCGTATTTTATTATTCTTACTACTCTATCAGTACACCTGTCTTCCTACTATCAACTTATATCTTTACCAATTATGTGTAGTCAGTCAGTCAGTTGCAACGTAGAACTTCATACGTATGTACATAAATTCATGTTGCTATACCACATTAGCACACAGACGCAAATGTCAAATCAAATCCCAAGTGATAGAGATAGTAGAGGTCTTAATGGTAGTGAAGAAGACTAGGGTTTGAAGATATTATTCAAGAAGTATAATTCAGCAAGATAAGGTTAGAAAGACAAAGGTAGAGGTGCTGACGAATCCAGAAGATTAGGATTTGAGAGAGCTCAAAGAATGAATGCACTTGCTCCATTGCAAACGATTTTGAGCCATGTCATTCAAGGTCTCTAACCATCGATTACTAATTATCTCGCGGACCCCAACTAGATAGCCTACATCTACCAACATGACTCAGTCCACTAGTCAGTAACTTCATGGATTTCTGCCATGTTTTGGTTTGGCCGCCCCTAGCTTTTTTCCAACCTACTCCTACACCACAAAACATAGCTCGTTGAGGCAGTCGGTGGTTAGGCATTCATAACACATGTCCCAACCACCTCAACTGATGAAGTTTCACCACTTCATCTATTGATCTGCCATCCTTACCTAATACTCGTTTCCTAACGACAGCATTGCTTACTCGGTTGTCCCACAATATACGAGCAACGCTTCTTAAACATCTATGATCGAATACTAGTAACCTACGAACATCTACTCTTAACGGCCATGTTTCGCATCCATATAGTAGGACGGAGCGAACTTCTGCGCAGTACACTCGTCCTTTGGTTATCGAACGTATATCACGCCTACGCCATAAATGGCATAAATTGGCAAAAGCTTTCTGTATCCGCGCTGAGATTTTGTTAGTCACTAGGCCATCAGCGCTGATGAGACTACCCAGATAAGTGAAGTGATCAACACGCTCGACTACTTCACTCCCTATCACTAGTTCAGGTGCCGATGCAACCTAGTCTTGAAGCAACATGTGTAGTAACATAATCTATTTCATTGTGATGATTGACTCATAAATTGCCTAGATTGGTTTAACATTTTCATATGAATATTCATGTATATTAGAGAGTAAAGCTTAATGACGATCGAATTGAAAACAGTAATATTGTTCGCTTATATGTGTTATTATCATTTAATCTTTAGTTTTAATGTTCCTATGGTGAGCCATAGCTGTAAATATTTCCTTAGAATAAATTATATATCAGTTATTTCATGAAATATTATTTTCTTTTAGATCTTTCGTACACCAGAATTAGTATATGCTCTTTTGGTACATTATCTTCCAGTCAATGAATATCAAATTTCTAAAAGAGGAAATTCAAACATCAATCGTCCTCAACACTTATCTTCAGTAGACAATACTCCATTACCATCTATCATGCGTTTATGCCGTATTTGGATTCAAGTGTCAGATAGTATTTTGTTGGCATTTGTAAGTTATATATGTAAAGCTTTTGTTTAACTTTTCAATGAAATAACACTTGAAACATATTAGTTTTCTGTCATTTAAAATATCTCATAATTTCCAGTTATGTAGATTCTTGCAGGAGGATTTTAAGTGAGTTACTGAACGTTATATGTGACACTATATACATATATATATATATATATATATATATATATATATATATATATATATATATATATATAACAAATCCATGAATTTCACACTTCCTAATTCTTGTAAATAGTGTAGTGCTTACTTGATACATGCCGAAACACTGGTTGACTTTTCTTTCATTTTAATCTGATGTAGGAAGTTTTTTATTTAGACCATTCATTGAATGTTATTATGATGTTTAGGCAAATGTACACTTTTTTTCCCGTACGCTGTCATACTACCTTGAGAACTCTTATAAATTGAATGCCTCACTTATGCAACTGTATATTTCTAATCACTTATTTAAACTAGTTCCATTAAATTCATACTACGAAGTTTAATATTTTGTATATTAGAAGTGGTTGAGACATGTTTTACGAATGCCCAACCATGAAACTTCATCTGACGTTACTCTGCTGCTTATGAATTCGACCCGTAGGTCATAGGTCAGGGTAGCAGGACCCCTTCTAGGAAAACCACCTGCCTCGCTTCGGGTAGCCGGACAGTATCCTAGTTCACGCACAAATTGATTTGTGTACGTGTCTTTCGTACCAATAATTTTGTTTCAGTAAGTAAATAAATAAATAAACATTGAAGTGGATGTGTGGTGTGAGCTACTTATAAGTAGTATATGACGTGAGTGTCAGCGTAATGTCTGGCAGCAGAAGATGGGGAAGATCAAGAAAGGAAGAAGAGCTGGAACACAATGGAATTTGTATGAAACGCATGAATAGTGACCATGGATTTATGTTTTGCAACAGGAACAGTCCAGTTCGATATGATGAACTGATATTTTGCAAATGAACGATTTACGATATGGTTTTCCGATTTTACTGAGTAACTCTGTAATTTTCGCTAAATACAATTCGGTTGCCCCACCTGTGTTCTCGTTCACTACAGATGTACTCTTAAACTATGTTTCATCTTAGTATTAGACAAAAAAATTACACTTTCAATGCGTGTAGGACTAGAACTTGGTAAAATAAAATTTTATTTCTAAGATATTAAATTATTAGTTTAAGTGTTATTCTAATATAGAATAGTTGTAATCTGTTA